TGAAATTATGAGCTCAAATATATTGTTGAGTGTCCTTTATCTTATACTTAGATATATGAGTATTTTCAATTAAATTTTAAGCTTTCACTAGTATACCAATGTGATGGGAAATATATTATGGATCACCTCAACATTTATAAAATGTAAGTATTTTGAACACTGAAGACAAAAAAAAAAATCCATATGTTATCCTTATTGACATTCAATGGAGGAAGAATGAACTTTTTCATAGTTATCCTATAAGATTCTAAGAAGAGTTTATTAGTTATGGATAAGGTAGTAAAAGTTTTAGCTACAAGGTCATTTCTTAAAGGCATCAATTTCATTTCATGAACATTTAATTTGCAATTATGAAGAGAAGTTATAGTACAAACAAAAAGGATGTTAAGGTATTTAAAGAAACACATAATTGTTACTCATCAATAGGCTACTTTAGCAAAGCCCCAAGTGTGTCAGGAAGCAATAATTATGGTGAAATAATCACTTACCATAAGCCAATTAGATAGTAGATGTGTTAGTTAATCTATGGATGAGTAGAGTTATCTCAATAATTGAGGGAAACACTTTAATGAACAAGGGAATTACCAAGGATTCCCTAAATATAAAAAGCTCCTCAACTCCCATCAAATTAAGGATGAATAATCATTATAATGGGTGAAGATTATATAGGCTCGACCAATAAAACAACAAAGTGCACTTAGTTCCTCACCCTAGAGGCCTAAAATGAAACTTCATTAAAGAATATGAATATGTGCTAGTTAAAAAGGCTATCATCCACATACTTCCACAAGGCCAAGGAGAATTGGATCAGACTATTAGTAAACATGATGAGTTTATTTATAGTGTCCTTCTGGTGTTATCGATCCCACCATTAGAGGAGGAGAAACATAGGAAAAAGAGTCGAGCAGGAGACTTAAGCAGATAACAAGGGACACAAAGAGCATCAATCCATATATACCATCAGAGGCCATGAGGACACCCTCATCGCCCTGCCCTCTCCCCAGTCTCCAAATCCACTTTAAACAATATAGGGACAATGGAGACGTGCCCGATGCATTTAATGACACCATGAGAATCATAATGACTAACTACAGAGAGTTGGATCATACTACAACATTTAGGAAACTAAGGGCCTTGATGAAACATTTTGAACATAGCCTTGTCTTTTGTCTGAAACAAAAGTAATGTTTAAAGTTAAGTTTTGATGATTAGGGAATCTGATCGTGCACAAAGAAAGAATGGAGGGTTATGCTTAGCATGGACAAATGAGATAAATGTGACTATAGTTACAGCAAATGAGAATTTAATGTTTACTCAAATCCAAGATATGCAATTGGATAAAATTTGGATGTTTACTTTTGTGTGTGTAACACTTCATGAGGTGGGGAAACAATGATTCTAGGAAAATCTTATGGAGAAGGGAGAATAATTAATTGGGCTTTAGATAGTAGTCAATGATATCAATGAAGTCTTACGGGAAAGAATACGTAATAGACAATGTTTGTGGCCTCATCTTCTCAACAAAAATTCTTAGACTTTATGGCAAATTTTAAACTAATTGAAATGGGATTTAATGGGAACCTATATACATGGTCAAATAAGAAAGTAAATGAGTGAAGAAAAAAGCTAGATTGGACAGATCTATCACTAATAGTACATATGTTCTTATGTATTATTATTATTATTATTATATATATGTATATAATATATTAGATACAATAATTAATTCTTAATTAGTTTTCAATTGTTTGCTTAATTAAACGTATTCTTCGTGTTTTTTTTGTTGTTTATTTATAAGAGGAGATACGAGATATATGATATTGTATATACACAAAAAAAAATCTAATCGTCACAATCGTCATGATGCGAATGACAGAATAAGTCTGTAAAATTTTAATTTTTTGTTTTTAAATTTGGTTCCTTTTTTTTTTAAATAAGAGCACTTGTCACTAGTCCTATTGGAAACAAGATCATGCACTAATTATTATATTAGTCTTTTTTATAAAAAATCATACAAATAAGTAATACAAAATAAGCAAGTATTAGGTATTTATTATGTTATGTAAGTTTAATATTATAATCGTAATTTGCATGTAAATTTTAATAATTTAGCTTTTGTGAAAGAGATAGTACCTTTAATCACTATCAAACAAACATAAAGTGGTCACATAATTTGGTGTGAACTTTACACACCCATTTTTTGTCACTTTTGTCTTAGTTTCTTATGTGGTTATAAGTTACTTTTGCTTTTTTTCCCAATATTTCACTAAATCAACTATTTATTATTTGCATTTAATTTCATGACCATATTTTTTTTTTTACACAAAGTCTAAAAAGTGTCTACACATTAAATTTCGTAAAAAAATAGTCACAATTTTATTAAAATATAGCAACCATCCTTTTTAGTTAGCTAATTTCTAGAGTAAATTTACTAGTCTCTTACAGCGAAACTCAAAATAGAAAAGAAGTTCTAATAGAATTCAATTTTTCAGAACCACGGGCTATAGATTAGCAAATTAAGAGTTGGAGAGTGAATTTTAAAGTTTTCAATTTTCAAAAGCTATTTTATGTTAATACATAATTCTATTAGTCTCGTTAACTTGGTTTTTGCATTCATCTGCTCATGATAATAATTTTTTTATCATCTAAGTAATTCAAATATTTGTGTAATAGTAAAAAAATTTTCAGTTGAGACATGTTTAAATGAAAGTATAAAAATTCAAGACAAGAAACAAATTCCCTAACTAGTTAAACAATGAAGATATGTTAGACAATTAAACTTGATTTAATTAATGTTGGAAATCAAAACTTGAATTAATTAACAGTAAATAGAGGAATGACAACAATAAAGAGGAAAAATGTAAACTGGCAACGATAAAGAAGGTAAAGGTAAAATGACAACCTTTCTATTTATATATATAGTTTTAGACAAAAGAGAAAAACAGACAAATGTAAAGAAAAAAAAAATTGAAAATGTAAGGAGAAAAAAAAATTGAATGAGATTTATTCGCTTCAATAAGCTAATGCATAACGAGATTGGAGTATGAAATTTGGTATCGTGTGTATTGTAAAATTTGTGTTGTTTGTATTAATAAAATTTTGAGTATTTGTTTGATTATCAAATTCATTATCTTGGTAACTACAATAAAATTAAATTGCCAACAAACTCATAGTATTTAATCATTTTGGCAGTGCCATCCAAAAGTAAAATATAATAATCTAATTAAATCGAGGTTCAGGTAAGAACTCAATAATCAATAACAAATAAGAAACAATTAAATTATTTACCTTCCCGTCAACTATAATTCCTTCTACACCCATTTAAATTGCTGCCTCCACAATCGAAATAAGAGCTTGTGCCTCCAAAATACCTAGAGACTAAGGGGAAGTGATCTTTCTCATGCCTAGAAGGATCTTTATATCCGTCGAGTCTCTTCCAACAATCCCTAAATCGGATCATCCTTCCTCACCCATAAAAATATTTGTATTTAACTTTATTAACCCCATACGGAGAAAGCAACCATGCACTAGAAGTATGAGAAGATTTAAAGAATAATAATTTAAAAAAAAAATTATTTCTGATGTGTGAGTATGTATATATTTTTACAATTTCACGTGGAAAATCTAAAAATTCCACCGACATGATAATTAGTAACACAGAGATAGAATGACTATGATCTCATGCTACATTTGTCTTTACGTTATGTCTTTTTTTACTGGAGAGATATATGAGTAAAATTAAATTATTCCTCATGAATTGTGGTTTGAGTTATTTTAGTGTTGTAAAAAATTATTTTTTGTGAGAGGGATTTCCTCTCTGCCAACAAAGAAAAAAAAAAAAAAAGAAGAAGAATATGAATTTCGGGTAACACGGATGAAGTCTTACTTAACTTGGAAAGTTTTCCAACCCATAGAAGTTCTCCATATAAGTATATATGTGTACGACAATCTTCCAGGCGTAGAAATACACTTGGATCCAATCTTAGAATTAAAAAATGGGAGAAGAGATTGATGTCAAATCAAGGGCTAATAATATTTTGGAAGAAAGATGATTTAATTATAATACTTACTGACAGAGAATTCAGAATCAAATTAATTTGAACCCAAAAATTGAGCAACAAAGAAGAAGGAATGAGTACCTTAAAAACTGAAATGAAATCAAAAATATTCAGTGTAGAGAGTAGTAGCTGGGAATTTTCAGGACAGTCTTTTTCATGTCAGATTATTTTTTACCATATTCCTTTTTACCACCCTGCTTCAAGGTTCAGTTAACCATTTACGGCTACTTGTTTGTTTTGAAAAAGTAAAGTTCACCGAATATTTCAATTTTTACTGAATCTGTTGAGAGTAAAAAAGTAAATAAATAATTTGTTGTTTATTTCGGTTTCTCTCAAAGTGAGCGCTTGATAGATGGTTGAAGAAAATAAAATCCCCAAAACAATAAAAAAAATTTCAGTCTCTCTCTCTTTCCTACGCAGCGGTCACGTGCGATCTGAGGTACTACATCGTGCTTTTCGCTTCTCTGCCACTGCAAAACCAAATAATACAACAACAACAACAATGAACATCAGAGGGGAGAGAGAGAGAGAGAGAGAGAGAGAGAGAGAGAGAGTTTTACGTGTTGTGCGTAATGTTTGTGTTGAAGAACGTGTTTCTTTTTTAAACAAATTAATTAAACTCGAAAAACTCACACTCAAACCCCGATCAAATCTCTGTACCATATACTAAATGGGTTCGTACAGATGCAGAAACCATTGCAGGCTTTTTTAACAGCCGTCTTTACATTATTACTACTATCATTAATATTTCTTACCATGCAATAACCCCTTTCCTTTTGGGTCTTCCAAACCCATATACAATAAAATACCCATCATAACCATTCCAACCTTTAAATCTCTTTCATATACCATTTCAAGCAACCCCCTTTTAAACTCTACCTTCCATCCCGCCCATTTTCACTCACCAACTTACTCTCATATTTAAACATTTACATACAAAAATGTACTGGCGGTGGTAATGGTTTTAGTTTCTTGCTCTGCTACATATTTCCCCTTTATTTTTTTTTTTTTAATAGTTTTGTTTTGGCAGACCCTTTTGTGCTGGAGTCGTAATTATCCCTGTCAGAAGGCTTAATTACTGCTTCTGCCACAAGCTTTTCGTATACTACCATTCACACCCTCTAATATTACTTGCCGCTTCTTCTTTGTCGCTTGATATTTGCATTTGCTGCTGCTTCACGCACTACTTCTGCTACTTTTTATCACCCCCTTTCTTCTTCTTCTTCTTCTTCTTTTTCTTCTTCTTCTTCTTCTTTCAACTGCTCTCTTTGTTTCCGGCTCATGCATTTGTTCCTCATGTGGTTGGGTACTTGGGGTGATTAAGAATCCATCGCGTTTTTGTCGCCGGTTGGTGACTCGACCATGGCTGTTCCCCCTGGTGGTGGGTCTGGGGTGCCGTCGTTGCCGCCGCCTTGCCCGAAATCCCCGCCGGAGTATCCTGATTTGTATGGAAAGCGAAGGGGAATGGCGAAGGTTCAGCTGCTAGAGAGAGAAATTGGTTTTCTCGAGGTGGGTTTCAATTTGGATTGCTCATTAAGTACTTTTACTTCGCTTTATTTAATGTCATAACGTTATTTCTTTGCTGGAAAATAGTGTTTTCAATGCACTGGAAAATGTAGGAATTTATTTATTTTTTTTAAAAAAGGTTCCAATGAGATTTCAAAGCTTTTCTCCTCTTTTCCTTTTGAAAATACGTAAAATTTACAGAGTCCCTAAACAATCACAAATAGGTAAATTATTTATTTCTGATCAAGAACACCTTTACTTGTAAATCTGAGGAAATTTACTGTTTTTGATCGAACATAAATGGTATGCTCTGGTTGATGTGAGGTTCATGTGGGATGATTATGCAGGAGAGGTACAGAGAAGAGCAAATAAATATAAGCATGAGAAGAAAACAGGCCTTTTCATTAGGGTAGAAGCCTGAAATGGATATTAGAAAAACAATGTTGTTAATGATGCTGATTGGTCATTTATGGGTGGGTAGTTTTTGCCGTGATTCCAGGCTACCTGACAATTAACCTATCATGGCATGAAATGAATTGCTTGCAGACTTTTTATCTTGAAAACTGAAGCATGCCATTATTGCTGCCCTTGCGCTCTACCTAACCTGCACCTTCAGGTCCTATTCTCTTCTTGGATTATTTGCCTCTGTCAAACTCTGAAACCCTCTACAGTTCTAAACAGAACCCAATTAACACTGTGATTAGAGATTAGTCTTCATAACTCTTCTTCTTTTAAATCCATTACTGTCAAAAAATACCCACTTGGTTACAGATACGGATCCTGTGCAGGTGTCTTTTCTTTTCCTGTAAACTAGTACACCCTGACCCCCGAGCCCTCTGTAATTTTCTTTTCATGTTACTGCAAATATGGCATGATGTCCTCTGTTTTGTATTGTATATTTAGAATTAATAAATGAGTAAAACTTCCATGCAATAATGCAAGTCTTCACATGCTTAAATTCGGGCTTGGAACCTTTTGCAATGATTAAAAAAATGGAGGAAAGCTTTAAACACCATAAAATTGGATTCACGTGGTAAACTTAACAAAACCTTTTGTCTAATTCTAGTACATCAGGTAGTTAATGTATTATACATATCCAGTTGCTATTTTTACTTGAATTTTTTCCGTGGAATTGAATATAATAATGTTACTAGCACTTTTATTTGGAGCAGGAGGAAGTAAAATCTGTCCAAGCTCTTCAACCTGCTTCTAAATGCTGCAAAGAGTATGCCTACATTTACTATTTTATAGCATAGCTTCTTGTTTTTCTTACTTTCGGTCCCCAGGAGTTCCTTTGTAAATAATCAGGGTTTGTTTTCCATAAATTATTATAAAAATTACCTGCAATTTTTGTTTCTAAGTTGTTGTTGATTATGTAACATATGTTGTAATAGACTGAAACTATATTTTGACAGGGTTACTGATTTTGTGGTTGCAAGACCAGATCCTTTGATACCCACGTAAGAATGTTTGTTATTGCTTATTTTTTTTCTGTGTATGATTGTAGAATTGATTTAAAATCCTCATGTTTCTCTCTGAAGCAAACATAAGAAGCACCGAAGATCCTGTAGATTCTGGAAGTGGCTTTGGTATTCTTTTCTTCCTTGTTCCTGCTTATGTTCTGTATGTGCAGCTTTCAAATCTCACTACTCTTTTGCAATAAATTGATTTATTAACAGATTGATCAGAAACACTTGAAACTAATATAATTTAATTAACAAACTTGACGTGTTTAGTGTACATTCATGTAGGAATTTACAAAAGCTTGAAAATTAATTTAGTGTTTCTGTTGAATGTTTATAAAGATGAGTTGTATTGATATGCAGTGGACTGCCCTGCTTTAGCTTGTCATGGATATGCTGTTGCTGCCATTCTCAGTGCTCATGCCAAGTCAAGTGCCCCCAGTGCCCACGCTGCTCAGACTGTCTAAAATGTCCACAGTGTCCACGCTGCTTCCAATGCCCAAAATGCCCAAAATGCCCAAAGTGCCCCAGATGCTGTGATTGTAACTGTGACTGCGGTTGTCACTGTAACATATGTAGCTGCAAATCCTGTTTCAGCTGTCCGAGGGTCAAGTGTGGGTGGCCACAGTGCTGCTGCTCCTGCGCTTGTCCTTCTCTTCCATCTTGTTGTTGTAGAAAGATATCATGCAGCTGGAAGTGTTGTAGTTTCCGGTTGCCTTCATGCCCTGACTGCTCTTCTTGTTGCAGATGGGGATGTTCTTGTCCCAAATGTCCAAAGCCAAAGGTACGCCTATGTTGCAGTTGTAAACAATTGTGTTGTAATCCATGCTGTCTATTCTTCTAGCATCGTAATGCAAAAGCTCATAAGGAAGCTCCTCTTCTGTTGCCACTTAAATTTTCAGTCTAGGCTTATAATATATTTTTCTGCAATTAATGGAGGCATTGGTGCACGCACTTCAGATATACATAGGACTATGCAATTAATAATGGTAGTGTGTGGATGGTTGGATATATTGGGGAGGGAAGTTTGGGATTGTTGAGGATTGATTTTTTGACAGGAATTCAGAAAAAAGTCTTACAAATTAAGAAGAGATGTGATGGAAAGCAATGGGTTATTTTGTTGTCTGGTTCAGAAATCTGGAGGGAGGAGTGTGAATGGTTAATTTCTTTCGTTTCTCATGGTTTGAGTGACAGAAAATTTGGCAGGAGTAGAAATGGTAACAGACGATGATGTTCATAATTCAGATGGTGGACCTACAACCGATTAATGATTAAGCCGAATAATTGAAATGGTCAGGATAGTTAACAGTAGCCATTAGCCATCAGTCTCAACTTTTCAGTGCCACTGTCACCACATCATCACTGCAGTCCACTGCCCTGCACATGTCTTTTCCTTCACTTTCTTCTCCCTTTCAGCCTTTTTCACCTATTGACTTAACTACATTACCACACTTATTCACCTAACTTTAGAAAGGCAATTAAGTTTTCAAGTTAATTATTACTGTCATTAACTATGTAAAGCATCTTATTTCCTCCCGTACATTAAAGCATTAAGAACCCAACCTGTTTATTACTTTCTTAACATAACAAAATACCAGGAGACATCTTGCTATCTTGTGAAAGTAAAACCAATATTTCTTAAATTGGTATGTCACTCATCCTATTACATTAGTTGTAGGAACAAACAATACAATAAAAATTTCACCTATCTGGGCTGGCTGGCTGCCTTCCCTTCAAAGGCAAAACCGTGAGGAAGCATGTTCTTATCCAATGCGTCTGAGCCATTTTTAACCCAGTCTTCTTAAACCCATTAAGTGCCAGGCCCATAAACACAAACCCAAAATGGAAATTTGATGTTTCAGACAAAGTGATCACAACTGGGTCCATGCTAATGACACTGGGCTCCTCACTTGATGTCGTGAATTGATCCAAGAAATGGACCCAAATTCTGACCTACTCGTAGGAGTTACACCTCGCTTTGCCACAAAGGTTACCGTGTATCTCTTCTTCTCTCCCACACTTCTGAACATGAGCCGTGTGGGCCTGACCTTGATCCCAACAGAAGATGGCCCAGACACGCTAACATTATACATGGACCTGGCTGAACCCACATTGGTCAACTCACGAGTGTATCTCACAACTCTCTTGTTATTGAACAAGACTGAGAAGGAAGGGTAATTAAGCTCCCCTGGGTCGGCAAATTTGTTTGCGCAGCTGATATTGGGCCGCTTGACAATGGCTTGCACGTGCTCCAGCGTGTAGTCCAGGGAACAGAGGAAGGAGATATATTCCTCAGTAGAGATGTCATAAACGAGTCCGGGGTTGAGAGCCTTTTGCGGGTCAACATGACCTGACCCATGAGCGAAGGGGTTGGAGAACCCACCGCCCGCGGCGTCCCTGAGTGGGAATTTGGTGTTGTCAAGGGTGTAAGCAGTGGTCATGAGGGCAGACTTGATTGCGCTTGGACTCCACTCTGGGTGGGCTGCTTTCAGAAGTGCTGCCACACCACTGATGTGTGGGCAGGACATGGATGTACCTACAAAATCCATTAGGATCTAATTTGTTAAATATTATTTACCCATTTTATACCTAAAAGAGGCCATGCTGCCACAGCTCACTCCACTTAGAAGAAGAAGGTGAGGAGACTATTAGATTCTTTTTCTACTTTACTATTATATATTAGATGAATCATGAGAAGAAAATAATAAACAAATAATCATTAAGATGGATACTTCAATATTTATTCCTGGTTCTAGCATGGATTAATTTAATCGAATTATCTGGCCTCTCTAATTTAAACTAAATCCCGTTCTAGTTACTACGTTCCAAGTCAAACTTTTGGACTCTGTTAATGGCAACCTTTTCAGTTTCTTCATCCGTTTGAAAAACACCCAACAAGAAATAAATTCCGAAACGTAATGTAATGGCACCAAAAGTAAGAATATAGCCGTTGGAAGATACCTGACATGATGTTGAACTGAGTTTTCCTGGTATCCTTGTCCATACCAGTGGGTCCAATGGCCTCCGACCAAGCGGCCAAGATGTTGACGCCAGGCCCAATCAAGTCAGGTTTCAAGATCTGCGGCGTCACCAAGTTCGGTCCCCTCGAGCTGAACGCTGCCACTACCGGCGACGGCTTGATGTTGAGCACCGTCCCTCCGAACGTCAATACAGCCGTTGGGTTGGCACTCGACCTAACATATTCCCTTATCATATCCCCGGCCTTTCTCCCCACCGCAACCGCCGGACACAAGTGACTGTCCGCCACCATCTCCTCGCCGCTTGCCGCCGTGTTCGCCAATATCATTCCCACCCCACCAGCATCGCGCACAACCTCTCCCTTCTCCACACGTGCGTTGATCCCTCTGTCACAGACTACCACCTTCCCACGTATGAGTGCCGGATCGAGAGAGCCGCGCAAGCACAGGTTGCTCGTGTTGTTTGTCCCTTTGCTGTAAACCAGACCCACCGGTTTGGTTCCCATTCCTTTGCCACTATAAAGCGAGACGCCAGTGAAGCGCTTATTGTTGCCCAACACAACGTAAGCCGGGAAATCACGGTCCAGGGTCCCGGCTCCGACGGTCATAATCCACGGCGCTACATTGGCAAGCGAAGCCCTGCCAGGCCCACTGTTTCCAGCCGAGCATGAGACGAAGATGCCTTTTTCCATCGCACTGAACGCTCCAATTGCTATAGTGTCGCGGTAGTAAGGAGCAGATCCACCACCAAGAGAGAGCGAGAGCACGTTCACCCCGTCCAGTATGGCTCTCTCCATACCCGCGAGAATGTCGGATCCGAAGCATCCCGTCTCCCAGCAGACCTTGTAGGTGGCCACGCGCGCATAAGGGGCCATGCCACGTGCAGTCCCGCTTGCGTAACCGAGCAGACTGGCGTTGGAAACGGCGGCGCCGGCGGCTGTGCTGGCAGTGTGGGTGCCGTGACCGTCTACGTCTCTGGGCGATGGGATTTCCTTGGGTTTTTTCATGTAACTGCCACCGGCAGCCATGTGGTAGCCCCTTGAGAAGCTTCGGGCCCCAATAAGCTTCTTGTTGCACAGAGATGGGCTGAAATCGGAACCTGATTCGCACTCGCCGCGCCATCTAGAGGGGATCTCAGGCATGCCCGAGTCATCGAAACTCTTAGACTCCGGCCAGACCCCGGTGTCCAGAACCCCAATGATGACATCATAAGAAGCGTGATCAAGGTCCTGTGCATTGTGCCCGGCCCACAACCCGAAGTCAGTATCAAGACCCAAGAACTCTGGGGTTCGCGTTGTGTGGAGAGTGTAGACGGTTTCCTCGTAAACTCCCAGTACGGAGTGGGATCGACGGAGTGCCTCCGCCTCAATCGGGTCGAGAGAGGCAGCAAAGCCATGGAAGGCGGCAGTGTAGGTGTAGAGGAGAGAGTCGGAGGAAGAGGAAGAGGAGAGAGAGTGGAGACTGGCAGAGTACCAATCATGGTGGGTGGAGAAGGAAGAGGGTTTGGCATGGGGATTCATGTGGACTATGTAGGTCCGCCTGGCTGTCTCCGAGAGACATTGTCCTAGGAGGAGGAGGAGGAGGAGGAGGAAGAGGGTAGCGAAGCAGGGGGCGGCACGGGTAATGGAGCCCATTGGTCTGGTATGAAATGTGAGAAAGAAGAAGATGGGAAGGAAAGGGAATCCACAACAATCGCTCTTGGGCTGCGACTGTCAAGGGAGGATAGAAGAAGAAAAACAGTCGTGTGTCGGGTTTATACACTGAAACTTGTGAGAATGGGCACGAATGTTTAATAATTTACGTGAATGCCACCGTCGGTGTGATCATTTTATCAATTTAAAAATGAAAACCAGAGATGAGTCGTTGAAAATGGAAAAGGTTGTTTAAACAAAAGAAAAAGAAAAAGAAGAAAGAACGCGTCTTTGGTTTTGCTTATTTTCCACATAAAGGAGGAACATATATATATATATATGTATATATATACATACATAGGTGGGAGATGTAAATTATATTACTCGGAATAGTATGTAAAACCCATCATAATTTTGTTCTTTCTACGCACATGGGGGAGACATTAAACAGCTGGATAGAGGCCCTCCCTAATCCTTAGCCCTTGGTTCAAATCTTTCTGCCCATCCGCTTATTCCTCAATTCTCTTCTTGTGGACTGCGTTCAATTCAAACAGTTCTATCATCTTTCTATAACTCAATTTCTTAAGTGTTGTAATTCATCTGTTTAATTAGTCTCTAAAAAATATATATATATATTTTTTCTTTTATTCTTAATTATAACATTATAATTAATATGTATGTAATATTTAACGGGCGTAGTAGTAAGCATATTTTTATTCAAATAAAAAAAATTTAATTTTATCTTTTGCTATAATAATTTTAATGATGAAATGAACAATGTGGAAACTTTTTTAAGTAATTGAGAGTAAAGTTTATCTAATAGGAAGCATCAAAAATTTTTATTATAATTTATAATATCCATTAAGTGGTTTATATTCAATTGGAAACAGGGTGGTTAATGCAAGTGCAAGAATTTGTGAGTATTATTTAATTAAAACATTTCTACTTTACTAAACTAAAGTTTTTGATGTAATATGTCATCTAATTTTATTTATACTTATAAATACATCTCATTATGCACACACACACATATATATATATATATATATTGACAACTTAGTCTATGTACCCTAACAAAAAACAAAAAAGCCTATGTTATCTCAATAAAATCAATCTTTCTAGAAATGAGCAAATAAGAAAAACTAGTAGCAGCAACTCTCCAAAGTTGATAATAGACATGCCTTCCTAAATTTGCACAGCAATATTTTAATCATGTGGACATGTTATATATTTATTGTATTGATTTATTTATTTTTCAAATTTATATAATCCATACTAAAATGCTGCATTATGTAATTTATTAATTTCATTAATACATGTATTTATTATACATTTTTACACTCACTTTTTGACATGATAACCGTATGATGTAAGAATACCTTAAATTTAGAATTCTATAATTTTAGGTTCTAAAACTTAAACAATGATATAATATATATTTATATGATGCTAGAGATCCTTTTTATTTATTTATTTATTTATTTATTTATAAAGCGTCATAATTACAGTATCTAACAACTTTTGTTTACTCAGAAAATAGAATGGAATAATCTCAAGACGTATCATCTATTTTTTCTTGCACTAAATGTTATTTCTATAACTTATTTCAAAGGATGAGCATGTTTTAACACTTATTCCAAATTTTTGGGTTGGCTTCCTCATTTGAAGTGAAGTATAGATGATGTCTTTCGCATTCATATGATGTTAGAAATCCTTTTTTTGTTTAGACAACTTATGTGAAACACATAGTTTTTTTTAATAAACATATAAATAAATATTAATAAAAAATTAAAAATTATATACAATAATAATCATATGATCATTTTATACTTTCCAAAAAATGAGAAAATTTTTTATCTTCTTTTAGATTTTGCAATGGTCAGAGGCAATAAGAGAAGGGATTAAAGTGCTAGAGCAAAATAAGATTTTTGCAAATCTATCATATGAAAAATGGACCATATGATTGTAAATGGATATATAAAATAAAGTTTAATGCTGACAAAACAATTGAAATATATAAGGTATGACTTGTAGCAAATGACTTTTTAAAATATACTAGTATAAAATTTTCTTATCGATTACTAAAATTACTTTGGTAAGATTGTTCCTCTCTTTATATGCCATCATGGGTTAACTTCTCCATCAACTGGATGTGGACAATGCATTTCTACTCAAAGATTTAGAGGAGATTTATATAGAATTTTTACCAGATGATCTAAATAGGGATTGGGGAAAGGTGATAAAAAGTACTCAAGCAATGGCTAACATCTATTATGAATTGAGTTAGTTAAGATATCTCTTAAATGACTTTGGAACTAAACATCCATAGCTTGTTGTTGTGTGTTGTAATAAAGCAACTATTCATATTGTAAACAATTATGTTTTTCATAAAATAACAAAATACATAGAGTTAGACTATCACTTAGTCCATAAAAAGATTGAAGATGGAAGTACTATAACAAGGCATATAAATATCTACTCTTCATCTTATTAAGCCACTTCCTAACAGACTTTTTAGCTCTAACATGACTAAGATAAAATAAAAAATATCTACTCTTCATCTTGTGAG